ATATATATATATATATATATATTGCAATATTAAGTGGCAAGGAAAATAACAGATGAAAAGTTCAGCTACTGTTTTCCAATTACTATGTTATCTTTATGCCATGGTTGACTTGGTAAACATGCATGAGGAGCTCTAAGGCAAAATAAATTAAACATACATATATTTTTAACCAAAGGCAACCTTTAACTCTTCCGCCATCATTTCACTATTAGTGTTCTGCACCCCTCTCTTGATAGCAATCTTGGCGACCTCGCATTTTTCCCATAGTTTGACAACGGAAGAAGCCAATCCTTGAAGATTCCTATTTCGGCCTGCCAAGATAAGAAAATGATTACTAACATGTTGAACACATTAACGCCAGTTATGGCACTGGAAGCCCAACTCACCCAAGGCAAAATGGCATGGCAAGGGCCGAGCAAGCCTCCTTAATGTGGTCATTTCATCATCTGTTAGTTTAGGCAGCACGCCATAGGGAAGAAGGCGAAAGGGTCTTCTGTATCCATGAACAATCGGGCGTAGAAGATCAGCATCCACAGGCTGAGGATCATATCCCCACCAATCAGTAAAACGCGGACCCAGCCCATCTAACAAGCGGTCGGCTTCTTCTGCAAGTTGCGCCTCCCCTGGCAGCTGAAATCGTACTCTATTTGGCAAGCCAACACCTTGTATTAAGCTTGGTTGAACCAATTTATTCCCGGGGGTTGGAGCAACAGTTTCTACTCCATCTATACTAGATGAAGTATCCGTTTTATTCTGTTCTTCATCTCCAACGTCTGGAACCGGTAACGTCGCGGTGTGAGATGCGTCTTTCCCCACAAAAAAGTAAGGGTATTTGTATTTTATCCCTCTATATAACACTATCTTACTTCCAGACCTCCAAACAACCAAGCCTCCGGTTTTTTTCTGCCAAATTAGCTCCATTACTCAAAACTAACACAACTTTATAATCAAAATGTCACCTTTTAAGCTACATTACTCTTCATTTAACTTTGAGCAGCAGTTTGTACAAGTTCGATTGGAAATGCAAGATCAAATAGACCACAACTACGGAATAATTTGTGAAATTCGTAACAAGACATTGATAAATCAATAATTAATTGAGAATTACCTCCAATAAATCATGCGTCCGCTTCATGTTCATCCTACAAATATCTTCACACTCGATCTTGACGACCTCAGACTGCCTCCACCGCTCGTGAATCCCATTCACAATCCCTTCCGTAATCCCGGCCTTCCCGACCTTCACCTTCTTCCTCAACCCAATCCCCAGCGTCCTCAGCCTCCTCAGCTCCTCCGGCGGCAGCCTCAGCTCCGCCAAAGTCGGAACCCTCTCCCTCTCCTCCCTCGCATTCGCCGCCGATTCCTTCCTCTCTTCTCGCCTCTGCCTCCTCACCTCGGTCTTCAACTCCCGAAACCTCTTGATCGCCGTCCCCGAACCCGGCTCCGGAACCGGATTCTCCGGCGAGCTCCAGCTGGCGTCGATCGTGTGGCCGACCCTCTGCTTCGGCAATCGGTGCGGCAACGGAACGAAAATTTCTCCGGCGGAGGACCTCTCCGGCTCCGGACTTGGATTCTCGTCGGTGAATCCGAGGCTGCGGAGCTTCTCGGAGATTCTTTGGATGGCGGACTTAGGAAGCAAGGTTTGAGCGTCGGCGTTGGAGCTTCGGACTGTGAATTTGAGGGGTTTGGGAGTTGTGGAAAATGGTGAAGAGAAGAAGAAGAGAGGAGGAGATCGGTGGGTCAGTAGTTTTGGCGGGAGAGGGGAGGTGGGAAGTTGAGATGGAGGAAGCAACATTTTTTTCAGTTCGTCATGGAGGGAGTTTGGGATTCAAAGATAAGGAAGGAGTCCTTTGTATGATCTTTTCGCTTTCAAGCAGACGAGTCTGTTTACATTTAACGAATGAACAAACGACATAAAAAATGATGTCAGTTCTGTCAAACGACCTTTATTTACTAAGACTATCTTCAACGCAAAGGTTAATGCCTTGCCTACTGCATATTTAACATCAAAAACTATAATGGTGATATGTTGCGTTCCTATGCATAATATTAGTTTAAATGTTATAATATTTTTGTAATCATTGAATTTTAAAAATTTTAAAGGTAAATTTCTAATATTAAAATAATTAGAAAGATAAATATTAAGATAATTAATTAAAAAAGTAAATGTATCAACTAATAGCACTCAAATGGTAAATTTATCATATGTTTTACTTATTGTAAATCAAGTACAATCAAATATAACATATGACAAATTTATCACAATAAATAACATTGCAATAGAAAAAAATTTTTACACTCAAAATATTAAATTTGTAATTGATACAAGTATTGCATTGGAGATGTTGTAATACTCAGCCTATTTGCGAGTGATCATTTGATTAATGATATTTTCGTCTTGACATCTAAAGAGTTGTCAAATGGGCCAAGCCGTCCATGAACAGCCCGGCCCAGCTCGTAATAGTGCCAGATTCGGCAAGCCCAATATGGTAATGTTACAGGTCGTGCCGGCCCGGCACATTTGATGGGCTAGGGCTGGGCCACGGCTTCTCAGCCCGCGGCCCGGCCCAAGCTTGGATTTGGCCATTGTTCGGCCCGGCCCAAGCCCCCGAAACGGTCTGCCAAAAAACCCTCCAGCCAGTGAGGATTGTGACCGTTGGGCCCGCGAAGGGCCCAACTGTCACAATTTGAAAAAAAAATCTCCTATAAATACCCCTTAATCTCACACAATAATTCACTCTCAACTTCTCATCTTACTCTTATTCTATCTCTCATCTTGTTTTTTGATTTTGATTCTACGCTTTTATCTCGCGATCACTCATTTTCTTGCTCTTTCATTTACAAAGTTTAAGTTCAATCAATTTCTAAGAAAATGGCCGCATCAAACTTCTTTGATTTCACTACTCACCCTGAGCTTAGTGATGAGTTATTTTCGAGGATGAAATGATGGCTCAGAACCCCACTCCCACTGAACCAGAAAATGCTCCGGTAGATAATGTTTCAGTGCACAACGAGACAATCTCTAGTTGACAATTTTAGGTCTTTTAATGCTACTGTATCTTGTACTTCTGATCTATGGGAGGGGTGCAATAAAACTAGATATTTATACATCACGGCACATTATGTTGATGATGAAAGGATATTACAAAAGAGAATAATAGGTTTTTGTTTATGCTCATATCGTCACAACGCAAATGCTATTTTTGAAACAATAATGGAAATTTTTGGGTTTTATGAGATAAAAGATAAAGTTTAAACTATTACTTTTGATAATATGTCAGCTAACACGGCTGCAATTAACATGTTTAAACGTAATTTGAAACCAGCGTTTGGAAGGAAAATTTTTCATCAACGGTGTGCGTGTCACATAATCAATTTAGTAGTTCAGGCAGGAATTGAACATATTTCAGCTAATCTAACAAATTTAGAGAATCCTTTATCCTTCATATCTAATTCTGGAGCTCGGCTCTAAGAATTCAAACAATATTGCAGGAACAGTCAGATGTGCCTAAGAAGGTTCCCAACTGACGTAAGACATAGGTGGAATTCCACCTATTTAATGTTAAAGGCTGCACTTTCGTATCAACAGCTCATTACAACGTGTGTAAACAGTAAGAATTATCAGTTTTTAATTTTCGATACAGATTAGCAGATTGGTAAGTATTTTTTAAAATTTCTAGAATTTTTCTACAATGCTACTGAAGTACTTTCCGGAGTTTATTATCCTACTGTACATTTAGCTTTACATCAACTATTTAATATTTCAGAAACATTTTCTTATTATAGGGATATTGAACTTTTTAGAAACATAGTTAAGCTAATGGAAACTAAATTTAAAAGTTATTGGTCAGATTGTTTTATGTTATATGCATTAGCAACCATTTTAAATCCTTGGTGCGAAGTAGATGGGACTGAATCTTTGATGATTGCTACAACATAAAATTTAGGTATTGATATGCTACTAACTATTACTGACGCTAGGAAAATGTTAGAAAAGTTATTTGGTTTGTATGAAGAAAAATACAGCACAAGTAAAAAAGAATAGGGAACTTTGACGCCAACTAGCAGTTTAGGGCCTAAAGGCTCGTCGTGGAATTTCTTGAAGAAGAAAGAGAAAACGACACGATCATCATCAACACAAGCATCTACCGAACTGGTAAAATATTTTGAAGCAAATTTTGTAATCGATGATGACAAACTAGACATCTTACAGTGGTGGAAGAGCAAGATCAATCGTTTTCCAACATTGTCTGTAATAGCTCGTGACATTCTAACAACTCCAATGTTAACGGTAGCATCGGAGCGAGCATTTAGTGCAAGCAACAGAATTCTTGACGAGAAGAGAAGCAAAATGCATCCAGATATCTTTGAGGGGCTAATGTGTGTTAAAGACTAGGAAGATGCCAAAAGACGAAAACAACAATATACGGATGATTCAATGCAAGACTATTTTTCTAACTTAGAAATAACATAATCTTCTTGAAGCACTTAGGTTTTGTAATTTACTTATCCTAGAATACTGTACTCTTTTTCCTTCGCTAAGGTTTTGTCTCAATCTCTCCACAGGTTTTACCTGACAAGATTTTAAAAGAGGCAATCATTTATGTGTACTTATTTGTATTATCTCAATTTAATAAAATCACATCTTTTAGGGGGCATATGATATATTTTCTTATTTTTAATTAAATTTTGTAAAAGAAATTACAAGGGCCGGCCCGTGAAGGGCTTGAGCCCAAGCCCGGCCCTAACTCTTATAGACTAGGGCCGCGGGCCAATTGTGGGCCTGAGAGTTTCTCCTCAGGCCCGGCCCTAGTACGGCCCAGGCATACCACGGGTTTGGGGTCGGTCGTGCCGTGCCGGCCCAACACGGCACGTTTTACAACTCTACAATCCAAGTTCTTAAACTCTTAATTTAATCACATAATTGATTAAAATCGATGACTAACAATTATTCCTCAATTGTAATCCTCGTAACAATGTATCCTTTGATTTTCAATATAAACTATTCGTACTCTCTTATCTATGAACTATTATAGAAAAAACTCGTTTCTTAAATTTTCAATAAAAATTAATACGCAATTAATCTGTGGTACACATGTACTACGAGTCTCAAAGTGCCACGTGGATTGAAAAGCAGTGGATATAACCTTCATATGCCATTTTTAGACCCTTTTTTTTTGGAAAAAAAAAGAAAAAGAAAAGAGTGCCACGTAAATTTGTTGATATCTTTTTCCTTTATCTCCATATAGGTTTGGTTTCCCTTTCAATTTGGGGTTTTTTTTTTTTTTTTTTTGTTTTTTGGCTGAATACATTTTCAATGTGGATTGAAAGGTGCAAAGATTCCCAAGATGTTGCTCTCGAGTAAATCCCCCTTCTATTTTATTTTTGTAACTAAAAATATTAATAAAAATGTAAGCAAGAAGGACAATAAAAAACAATATGTCGTTCTGCAAGTAATTGCATGCATGTTTATTATAGGCAGCATAACAACGTACAATTAAATAAAATCGACATGTCGTTTCGTGTAACTAAAAATATTAATAAAAATGTAAGCAAGAAGGACAATAAAAAACGATATGTCGTTCTGCAAGTAATTGCATGCATGTTTATTATAGGCAGCATAACAACGTACAATTAAATAAAATCGACATGTCGTTTCAGAAGTAATTCCATGCATGTTTATTATAGGGAGCATAACAATGTACAATTAAATAGTTTTACATTTACAGGGAAGACAAGCAAGATCTTTTGTGGTACAAACTCAACACCGAACAATTATCAACAATGATTATTATAAGATAATAAGACAAAGCATTGCTGTACAACATGTAAACAATACATTAGGAGTTGTTTACATTTACAATTTCATCAATCCCATTGACGGTAGTTTTGTCATCGAATACAAAAAGAAGAGAATTCACATAATGTAGGCGATTTCTTTCCTGTATGGCAGATACCCAAAAGCAAAAAATCAAAATCAAAATCAAAATGAATCAAGTACTGCGAAATGAGATTAAACTTTATTCATTTCAAAGGCACAACAACGCGGTGTAAATTTTGTGGTAATTTCCCATTAGGCAAACATGGTACAGCTCACATTTTGGGGTGCAAGTACTCGTCCGAAGTGATAGGTTTAGGACCACCAAACCAATCAATCAAGAAAATATTCTCGATCTCTAATTTGAAGATCTGGAAGTTATGACTCTTAGGCCAGTCTGTCAAAACAAACATCCAAAATAAAACTAAATTCAGCCTGGTTAGAGACACAAAACACGATGAAAAATGAGAAAAACATGGCACTAGATCTGCCGTTAGCATGTCAAATTTTGTCAAGTTACCCTTCATCTCTGAATGTTTCGAGAACAATGCGGTTTTAGCAAACTCTGCTTCTTTGGATTTCGGATCGACTAATTTAAACTGGAATACCATCCAAAAACTGTCAGTTCATTCTGTTCCAATATGATATCTTCCTCAGAAATTGCATAGTCAAACTTAAATTAGCAACGCACCTTTCCTGTAAGTGTTAGCTTGGCACAGGTTGGGTTCTCCGGGTCTATTTTCCCACAAGTTCCCAGAGGGTACTCACTGACTGTAAGTGAAGCCCTTGGATCTTTCAATCCATATCTGGCACTTGGATCAAGAGTTGTTAAGTAGAAGTATGGGATACCCTTGCCTTTACCAGGTTTCCCATCACTGAATGAGACCACATTCCTACATGGCAACAGTGTTACAATATAAAACTATTATTGGTCTACTTCTTTATAGTTAACAGTTTACGTTTACGGGAGTAGGAGGTCCTAGATACAAACTCGTGTAATTACATTTTCTAACGTTGTCATCACGTGTTGAGCCCTCAAAATATTTCGGGCTCATAATTAATATTTGTTCGCAGATTTGCCCATCATATGGCCTACAAGTGAAGGAGAGTTGTAGAATATAAAACTATTTCGGTCCACCTCTTTATAGCTTAAGCTTTGTGGATAATTGGTAAACTAAGAAGCAGTAACTAATATCTTAGGTTAAGGCGCGACTTGAGAGCGCACTCTAATGAGGCAACACGTGATTCTTCAATCTATATGAAGTTAAAAGCAGAGAGCAAAAGAAAATAGTATTTCTGCATATGGTAGTTGAAAGATTTGGATCTTGAACCTGAGAAGTAAGGCTATGTTTGAAACCCAAATTCTATGGTGAAAAAAAAATTGAAAGAAAGTGCAACGAAAAAAAAATGAGGGGAAAAGAAAAAAAAAAAGGTTAATAAATTTAAATTTTCTCTAAAAACAATGCAGTATATATGAACATACGAAAAAGAAACCTTACCCAAAAGGTGCTCCTCCCAAGTCACTTGAGATGGTACTGCAAAATCAAGACGAGCAATGTAAGCTATAAAGATTTTCAGCTTTTTTTTTTTTTTTTTTTTTTTTGCGGATAAAAGATCATAAATTTGAAGAAGGAAAAACTATCAAGTTCCATAATTCCACTGCTGTGAATTAGGTTTCACGAATACAAAATCACAATTGTTATTTGATTATACTACTTTCCAACAAAGGTTCTATCTTTCCTTCTTTTTTCTGGGAACATAAAAAAAATAATAAATAAATATATGGCAATCCACTAGCAAACAAACAAGGAAATCGAGATTTCTATCGATCAATATAACAATCAGAGCATAATATTTATCGATACACGCCCACAACTGATAATCACAAAATTAAATCTTACAAGCAAAATCAACCGAAACGAACCAAGTTCTAATCGTTTCCTATAACAGCCCAATAACCCAGAAGAAACAATCCAAGCGAAATTCACCAAAAATGGTTTTTTTTTTTCTCAAAAAAAAAAAGGAAAACCCAGAATCCATTAAGGCTAAATATGATTGAGAAAAATACAAAAGAGTGAAAGAGAGATTTATGTACTTTAAGACGCCCCATGAGTTCTGAGCGACCAACCAACGAGCAGTGGCAGCGGCATTATCCGGGTCGGGTTTCTTAACCGAAAGTGACCGACCTTGGACTTGGGAACCCAAAAACACAGAAATCAAAAAGAAGAAAATGTTGAAAATATGAAGAACACGTCCTACCATTTTTTTCTTTTTCTTTTTCTTTCTTTTTCTTTTTTTTTTTCTTTTGTTATTCCTTGCTTAAAGATGAAGATGGAGTGTACTGAATAGTATAAAATTTTCCTATCGAGTCATTTGTAAAAGTAACCTATTTATACAAAAAACAGTCAGCTACCGGTTTTTGCTCAAAGAAGAAACTCAAGATCCATAAATAAATAAATAAAGCGAAATAAAGCAACGAGAGATGTGTCCAATCCTCTGCAGCCGAGAGCACGTCCATAAGATATGCCTGTGGATTGGCCAAGTCTAATTGATAATTCTTTCTGTCTTCTGAGAAGAATTTAAGAAATGGGCTGTTAGTATAAGAGTGGTCCTATTTATATATATATATATATAT